TCACCACGCCGCTCGGTGAGGGCCAGGACCAGTTCGGTTTTCACTCGATCCTGACTTGAGCACTGGCTGGCAATCGGAAGTCAGGAGGGCCCGGTTCATCATGCCGTGCTAATAATATTGACATCCAAATAATGTTCATAATACGGGTTTTATTTGGGTTAGATCGGGTAAAATATAACCGCGTCGTTAACCCACGACCACTCGACACAACCGATGAGTAAGGGTTGTCACGTAAACGAAACACGCCAACTCGTTACTTCAGGTACAGCGGCGTGTTGCTTCATCAGCGAAACGTGACGGCACTCAAACTGTAAATGTCGTGGGTTTACTCTCCAACACAGCTCCCGATCGAAAAATGCGTCCGATTCGTGAAATAACCACGCGTAAAAAATTGTGATTATCATCATTATGAGTGTTGATAATGTCTGGAAATAATGGGCGGTGCTGGTGTGTCTCTGTGTGTGTGTGCGTACGTGTGCCACTGAATACATCAAGCCATGCGCAGGCACCATGGTGATGTCACCACCACTTACCAGTGGAGCGTGACAGCTGCTATCGTGCCGTACACGCATTCAAGTGCATGTGTGTGTGTCTGTATGCGTGTGTCTTTGTGTGTGTATGTGTGTGTATGTGCATGTGTGTATGTCTGTGTGTGTGTGTCTGTGTGTCTGTGTGTTGTGGGGAGCAGTAGTGTCGCGGTTTAGCGCGCTGCGCTATGAACCTGGCGACCCCAGTACGATTCCCGCTCTCGGCCAACACCGGTGACGATTATCTGAACCGGTCCTGGGCCTCCCCTAGGTCGACTCAGCCTCAAATGAGTACCTGGTGAGGTGAGTAAACATCGCCACTGGGGAGACAAAGGCGGTCGGGCGTGGTGCTGGCCACCCACCCGCTCGTGTACCGTGCCGGCCTTCATAGGTGCTCGCTAACAGCACTTGCTCCAACTGTCTGTTAAGGCTATACGGGGGACCTTTGTCTTTGTCTTCGTATGTGTGCTCGGTATAGAAACCACGAGATTGAAACGAGAGCAAAGTTAATGCTTGAGAAACTATTTTGTTGCAAATGCACGGACTCACTAAATCCACAATGCAGGCAGTAACATCTTAAAATCACATTACAGCCACAAACATCGTACATCTTCCAGACGTTTGTTGTAAATTCACTTCGGTTCCCATGTCGCTGTAAACATCTTGTCATAATTTTGGTTGGATTTAAATTGGAAAAGTTGTAACCGACAGAAGAGTAGAAAGGTGGTGATAAGTGACACGAAACACGGAAATAACCAAAACACCGCCAGGGAGGGAGGCAGGGAGCGTGGGCGGGAGGGGGAAGGACACATTCTCAAAAGTAGGCTGAAATCGACTCGACTTTGGTGTCCCAAAAGCATACTTGCGAACTAGAAAAACCAAGTGCAAGCACCATTATTTGTGACCGTATAATCGTTTTTCGCTCTCGCAGGCAAGTTTCCAGCTTGGAGATGAAGCCATGCGCCATTTAAATGACTTGCCGATTCATTGTATCTCAGAGTGTCTCTGCTGGGGACGAGCATCTTAAAATAAACCATTTTGTTATTTTACCAAGTAAGACCCACTCTGCTATGTAGCTCTTTTTCAGAAGCGACCTGGCCACAAATGATAGCTCAACAAAGTGGTTTATTGCGTGAAAATTTCTAGCAGCGAAGTAATATGAACGCACATTGATTCTAAATGTGGAGGGAAAAGCCAGAAAACCCGGAGAAAAATACACGTGACCGTGGGGAGAGAGAGAGAGACACGCAAATTCCAAATATCCAGGCATCAGGGTCGAGATTGAACCCACGCCGTACCGTATACCAGGCACATTAGCTTGCCACCGTGACGAGATCTTACTTTGTATTAAAGCGGCGATGTCAACATCACGCCTTAATAAGCCAACGCGACTTTTGAAAAACTGTGGTGTCACACGCGTGGCAAAGGCGCTTGGCTTTTATCGTAACACAACGGAGAAGACAAAAAAAACACAACTGCTTGGATATTGTGTCAAAACAAAGAAGGCAACGGAACGAACACAAATGTCGGAAGCCAACGTTGTGCCTCTTTTGTTCGGGAAATTTAAAATGAAATCCGGAAAACGTTGGCTGGGATCAAGGGCGGTTGAATGGCACGGTGGCGCAAGCGTGCCCGCCCCTGAGCCAGCTTGCAGGGGATTACAGCGGTTCGAATCACACCTGCGTGCAGGTGCAGTACTGTGTCGCATTAGCAGATGCTGCCCGCTTGAATGAACTTGTTACGAGACCAAGGTGGCGGCGGTTCCGAATCACAATCGAGTCGCGTCCTGATTTGCCGTTTTAAACGCGTGCACGAGACAGTCAGTGTGCGGGGCTACGCGTTGGCCTGTGCAGAGATGGAACAGCCAGTCGGCTATTGATCCGCGTGGAGTTTCTGGAGTGTTATGCCCTCGCTTTCAATGGGTCTTTCTTCTACGCGTACAACACTCAGAAGGAGATTGGCTAAACATCTCTATGAAGACTATTAATGATGAACAGATGCTTTCCTGGATAAATAATAAATTTGTTTTCTTAAAAAAATGTTTTTATAATACCCAGCAAATTTGCATAAATTGCAATAAAACGCTCACATATTAAAGTGAGACTCCAATGAAAATACCACAGTCAAAGTAAATTCAACAAATTCGAAGAGGTACTGTTTAAATATATTAATTTAGGTAATTTTTTTTTACATCAATTAAAATTAATGCTTGAGCAACCGTTTTAATAAAAACAATACTCAGCAACAGTTCTATATTAAAATACAAAACCTTTGTAAAAACATGATATAAAAGTAATCTGAAATCACAAAACACTTCACAACGCTGCAACCGAGGCAGCCATTAGCTAATGGAAAATGAATGCGTCCCTCGTTCCCAGGGCGCTACTTACGCTGCACCATTTAAAGTAATGGCTCTTCGCTCGCATTTTCATTACGGGAAAACCACGAGTTGCCACGTGACGTGCCACGTGCCCGACACGACTCCGCTGCTACTGCCCGCGCACTTCCCGGCGGGGCCCCAGAGGGTCGCGCAAGACTGCTGCAGGAGGGGATCCCTTCTTCTTCCATGGTAAGCTGGACTCCCGTGGTGAACTGGACTCAAGTGGTGAACTGGACTTCCGTGGAAAACTGGACTCCCATGGTAAATTGGATTCTCATGGTAAATTGGACTCACATGGTAAACTGGACTCCCTTGCTGAACTGGACTCCCATGGAAAATTGGACTCCCATGGTAAACTGGACTCCCATGGTAAACTGGACTCTCTTGGCTGAACTGGACTCCCATGGTAAAGTGGACTGGTTGATGCGCTGCGCTGTGAACATGGAGACCAAATCTCGATTGCTGCTCAGGACCCGTGTACCAGTCGCGAGTGACACCTGAACTGGTCTGGGCGGCCCCCTTACAACGACCCGCACCGGCGCGGCATGGGAAGGCCTTCGACCAGCAGTGCATTGACAAAGGGGCTGTAAATGGTTATTACTACTAGTAGGTGCACGGTGATAGTTGCATGCAAATGAATGACGGTGTAGAAGACCACACGGCGCTTAAACTAATTCTGTGCAATGGCCCTACCACACAGGGTGCCAGGAAACACGCTGCAACCCTCCAGCGAGACGGTAATTATGGCCACTGTGTTTTCTCCTCCTTCATTATCCGTTGCTACGTAACCGTTAATTGGTGCTCGCTGCGCGGCGAGGATGCGTTGGGGGGAAAGGAGGGGTGGGACGGCGGGTTGTGCTGCTACGGGGGCTCCGTCAGAAGCAAACGAGGCGCAGCAGAGAAAGGCAACGCGACGGCAAACAGCGCGCACTGATGGCACACGGCACAGCGCGCGCTGATGGCACAGGGCACAGCGCGCACTGATGGCACACGGCACAGCGCGCGCTGATGGCACAGGGCACAGCGCGCACTGATGGCACACGGCACAGCGCGCAATGATGGCACACGGCACAGCGCGCGCTGATGGCACAGGGCACAGCGCGCACTGATGGCACACGGCACAGCGCGCACACTGCGGCGACCGTCTGAGAGTCGTGCGTAGCCTGCGACGCGCTCTTCCATTCGTTCTCATTTCTGTACAAATACCCACCGCTGGTTATATCGGCGATGAGTTTCCTTTTTTTGTTATTTTCGGGTGCGCAAATATTTCCCGGGGGTTGCCAACCCGGACGTAGGCCCCGGTTGAAACAAAGCCCGGCCCCACGTCCGACCGCCTTTGTATCCCCGGTGGTGCCGTCAGTGGCAAAGTAAGCAGCGGCTAGTAGGGCTCCACGCAACTCAAGGCCCTCTCGGATTCAAGAGAGAAATGTAAAAAGAAACCCGCTAACACAAATGCCACTAAGATATCATCACCTTGAGCTCAGATCCTTATAACAAAAATAATAACAACTCATCATTCGATTAACACTGCCAAAATAATTTATCCTGGAAAGTAGTCTGTTCACTTAATTATTTCACACAACCGTGATATAATTAATTTAAGCAGATTGTCCAGCACAGAATGTTTGGAGTCAAGTGACTCGTAGGAAAGTAATTTTTGCTAAGGGTACCCAATGGGCTATCACCACCGCTGGCTTCGTGAACTCGTCTGGCGTGCACTGTTTGTAGTAACTCCTCGTTCTCCTGCACTCTCCCCAAAGTCTAAATCTCCACTGATGGCCCTTAATGGGCTTAGGACCACTCCACATCCATTGCGCTGGCCTACTCACATTCAGAGCCAACAACAACAACCACCACCACCACAGCAACTGCAGCAACCACCACTACAGCAGAAGAAACAACAGCAACAACAACCATCACCACAGCAGAAACAACAACAGCAGCAGCAACAACCATCACCACCACAGCAGCAACAACAACCACCACAGCAGTCACAACTACCACCACCACCGCAACAGCAGCAACAACAACAACCACCACTACCACAGCAGCAGCAGCAACAACATCATCAAGCAAGCAGCTCCGCTCCATACCTGGCAGGCGTTGTAGAGCAGCTGGTGCTCAAACTTCTTGATGCCCAGGATGTTCTGGAACATCTCGTACAGCTGCTCCTTGCTGAGGATGAGCTCCGAGGCGGCGCTGGCAGCGATGCGGCTCGGCTGCTTGCGCGAGTCCTCCTCGCCGCGGTAGATGGAGTCGAACTTGGCCATCCAGGAGCTGAGCACCGTCTCCTTGCTCAGCCCGTCGATCTCGGGCAGGCTGCGCACCCGCTTCTCGATGTGCTTCTTGAAGACGTCGCGGAAGTCGTTGGCCGAGCAGCCACCGCCCTGCACCATGCGTGTGACGCGCTCGCTCTTGAGGAACACCTGGAGGAGACGGTGTGGGGGGGGGGGGGAGACGGGGAAGGAGTTCCTGTCAGCGGCTGCGGCGGTTCCGTGGCACTCGAGACCGGTCACCACAACAGCAGTGGTAGATCCCAAGCGAGGCCCGCGTGTGTACATTATGTGTGTACGTTGAAATTATTTCGCGCCGTACGTAGCCGACCCAGCTTATCGGAGGTGCGGGGGAAGGACAACAAACTAAAAGCAGTTCTGAAGAAATTGGTTTTCATTCTAGATGATTTTAAAGTCCATAGCTCCAGTGCCTTCCTAAGATCAGAAGGAAGAGCGTTCCAGACGGCCGCAGAAATGCTTCTGCAAGCGCCGTGCAATGGAGGTGATCGGCTCCCACCCCCGCCACCTTGACACCAAAAAAAATTGGTATTTTATTGATGTTTACCAGAGAGCGTATAATACAGGGCCCTAATTAAAATGCTTTCAATCAATGCGTGTTACCCACAAAGACTCGTTGATCAGACTGTATGGACTCTGACAAAGAAAAGGCAACACAAGATGAAAGGTGCACAAAGAGGAACGGAGCGATGCGTACTGGGATTACGCCGAGAGACGGAGGAAACACATGGAAGAAGGAACAAATGCAAATAGCAGACATCGGATCGACTGTTTAGGAAATAAATTTGGCTTTGGCAGGACACATCACTGCAACGGATGGTGGCTGATGGTCAAGACTGGTCCTGCAATGGCATTCCGTATAAACTGCAGTCGCTTCACAGCAGGGGGCGATGCTGCTAAGTGGTTTTTACCCATTTAGGTCATTTGCAAGTACAGTCATTTTCAGATTTGCGCCATCACGCCGGCACACGCGGCCTACTCGTCTTCAAATAACGTCTGGGGATCTTTAACGTCCACCAGGAAGCAGATAGCGTGCAGTAGATATCGATTAAAACACTCGCAGTGTTAACCAGGGTGGCTGCTGTGCTCGAACATCAAACCGCTGCAGCAAGCGAGAAACGCGCTCCCAATCCGTCGCGTCACAGAGTCTGATTTACAAACCACTTGATGTGGTATGAACAGAACAAAGTGCAAGCGGTTAAAAAGACATCATCCACCTTCGGGTCAAGTTCGTCTCTTTGAAACGCTCCCTGGAAATGAATTGCGGGCAAAGCTAACCTGTGGGGGGGAGGGGGGGGTCCATGATATAAGCGGCCCCCAGCAGGAACTCTTCAAGCTGAGCCAACCTCGAAGAGGCACTCGCAGAGCTTTGAAGCCCGTCACAAAAAACCGTCGTACATCACGGAGCGGCGTGCTGCCCACCACCAGTCCTCGTCCACTCACACGGCGCACTTAAAACCCGACGCTCGCACACAGCCCGCACACAGCCCGCACACAGCCCGCACAGTCCCACCGCGTCCCGTGAAGGAGAACGCGCGTATCGATCCAGTCGGAAGGTTGGCTCGGCGCTTGGAGCGAGCGGCTCGCAATCAAAAGTTTGCGAGTTCATATCTCGGGCTGGGGGGGTTCACTCGGCCCATCGTCCTCTCTCCCGGGGGGGGGGGGGGTTTGTTAAAATAACGGCCAGTTTGTGGGGGAAGTCGACAGTGATTGTCCTGTGGATGTACAGACTCGCCCTTCCACCCGCACCTCTCCCGCAAAATGATATCGGCGGTCTCGCAACGAGGCACGCCACGTAACGTCACCGCCTGTCCGCCGCTGAGCTCGTTAAAAATGCTCCCGACGATTGGGAGGACAAAGGCAACAGCGCAGGGCCGACGCGGAGGGGCCAAGGAAAACAAACGCGGCCCGCACCTGGCACTGGGCATCTGTCCTGTCCTAAGCCCTCATTTCAAAGACGGATAATTATTCGTCCGGAACCTGAACATCGGTCAAGATAAACACTGAAGGAAATAAACAACTGTAAAACCCAATACTAATGTAAGCAGCTGGCCCAGTGTAATGAATGGCCGCTAATCCTTGAGGAGTTAATGGCAACAACTGTGCCATTTTGAATCCATTTTGAGTTGCGCGTGAAATTGATTTTGAGCACAATTGCTCCAAATTAATAGACAATAAATGTAACCCAACTGGTAATTGCGTTCCGTGAATTGACCGGTTATTTCATTGCTGCCTCGTATTTTTTTAAGGGAGTTGATTGGCCTCGCATTTGCGATGCCCAGGAAATATTGTCCGCCCGTGAGTCCGTCCCATCCGCGTAAACTCCCCTTGTGTTCATGAATACTACGCAACTTCCAAACCGATCGCTGCCGAACTCACCGTACGGCTCACTGGTGCCCATGCCCTCATTCGTGTAGCCTTTAGGCGGGATTGACAACAACATACTTTAAAAAAAGCATTTCTGATTTGAGAACCGCGTCAGGAGCAGCATCGTAGTGTATTGCTGTGATGTTTCCTTCGCATTTGTGGATCGGGCATTGCGTCGTGATACGTTGTACGGTCTGTTCTGGATGACCACAGTCGCACTTTCAAATGAGCAGTCACGGAACCAATGCCTCGTCGGTGACCCTCAGCTCCCGCCAGCCTGGGTTTGATCTTTGGCCGGGCTCTGCTCAACAGAGTTCCGACCCGGCCAAGGTCTCCTCCGTGCAGCAAAGCCTGCACAGGTGGGAGCTCGCGCGACAGCCAGAACTGTAGTTGTGGTGCAAAGGCAGACGATGACGTCCCGCGTTGACGACTGTGGCCGCGAACCAAAACTAAACTAAATTATTTTTGTTTTACCAGGTTAGGTCCACTGAGCTGTAGAGCTCTTTTTCGGAAGCAACTCTGGCTAGAAATGATAGGTCAACGAAGTGGCTTATCGCGTGGAAATTTATAACAGCTACATACTCGAAATGCATGTTTCCAAACGTGGAGGGAAAAACAGGAGGATCCGGAGAAAAACCCATACGACCACGGGGAGAGAGACATGCAAACTCCAAATATACAGCAGGCATCGTCAGGGTCAGAATCGAACCCACGACCTCCTGCATACCAGGCGAGGTAGATTAACATCTGGTCACCATGGCACACCAAGCTTAACTGTGTGAAGCCGAAATGATCCCGGCTTGTCAGCTTGTTAAAAAGTTTTTTCCCATCGTAATGGTTCACTGGAGTTGCAAACACAATGTGTACAAGTTGCATGAAAGTTTGGATGAAGTACATTATGCACCCAACGAGTAAACGCGGTTCACCACTGGTGCACATTTTCTGCATGACCATTAAGAAATGCATCTCATCAAAAAAAGTAATAGTGACTGATCTATACTTAAAGTGAGTTCTTGTCCACGAGATCAGACAATTAGCAAATCGATCCGTTTATTAACGCTGAGAAGCTTTCAGGATCCAATTTCCCTTAAGTAAAGGGAAACTTGGTATTCTACAGATGTTTTAAATGCCTTTATCTTGACTTGGTCGCAAGTATAGGTTTCAAATGTTCCGGTGTGGCCAATGGCACCAGCTCATAATGGACAGCTGTTGCAAACGCAGACAAAATGTGTTTAACAGACAGATAACAAATACCCCCCTCCCCCCTTTCTCCATCGTTCATGATTAAAGGCAAATCAAGAACATTAATTTTCGTCTCGTTAGCATCGTCCCGTTTGTATTGTTGATAACTATTCCCTTCTTTGTGCAGCCTCATTTGCCCCATTGTTCTAATTTAACGTGAGTGAACAACTTTTTTGTATTAATTGTAAATCATCGATTCTCACAAGCACGCTTTAAAACACGTCACTGAGATCATGAGAATCGTGTTTACCGATGAATCGCCAAATCATTACATGCTACATTTTGTATGTTGTACACTTTATAGCAGAGGGTGAGCTTGGTAATGCCAGATAGCGCTGCATTATATGCTTGGCCAAACATTCCAATGTAGGACCACAGAAATTGGATATTTGTGGGCACAATGCTGGCTGCGTTTCCGCCTGTGTGTAGTTCGCAACGCCTCTGTTGCTAAAAGAGCGCGCGTTACTAATTCCGCAGCGTTTGAGATGCAATTTTGCACGAACGATGCGACGTAAAATAACAATCATTTATATTATTATCAACGCAACTCTTTTTTGACGTTACAGCCACAGAGTTTTGTTAACCTGAATTTTTTTCTCGCATAAATGAGTTCAACAACAAAAAACGTTGCGCAAATGTAACTTTGACCTCATCATTGGGGTCAAACACAGGATGACCCTGTGGTGGTGTTCCTTCAAGTCTCTGCTGAAAGACATTGCCAGTGGGGCAGAATCAGTGCATTATGTACTCAAGAAATCACGTGGCCACTGAGCCGAAAACATTTAGGTCAACTGTTGACTGATAAACCTTTTTTCCCTGGCTCATATATTTATACTGTACGAGTAAAATAATAGTAAGACAGCTCAACGGATGGATTCTGTTCAAGGCAAGTATTGGCAATGAGCTCCGGTACCGGCTCAGCTGAGTGCAAGGAGAAACGCGTCGGACTCCCATGAAAAGCGCGCATCTTTAAATTTATTGTCTGAAAACATCGTCATGAGTAGAGGATAACAGAGCTTGGGCAATTGCTGCGTGCGGGCTCGTCGCGTGGCTGCCTTCCACCCACGTCTGTGGCTCCTCGCGCCTCTTGAGAGTGAGCGAATAGCGGTGCGGCGCGTTGCAAGCCGAAGTCAAAATAATAACATATCACAGAATCGAGCTGTTGCAATTAATACCGAATCAAATCACCACGAGTTGGATAACACGAACAGTCGGCCCACTCCTCCCTCCCCCACGGCTCGCAGGGCTGAGATCTCTGCGTATGGCCGCGTTGGCTACAAAACCTTCCACTTGTTTTGTAGCCCCGCGACAATTGGGCGCAGCTTGGGAGCCAATTATTTCCTGGTGGTGAAGGCAGAGAATTCGGCACGAGCAACGCTGATAAAAGTGCGCTCTCGAGTGCGAGGTGAGCGGAGGGAGGCAGAGGGAGGGGGGGGGTCGACATCGCAGACACCGTTCTTAGAAAACGCATGCTTATCAAATGATGAGACGTTTATTTATTTCATTTTTATATCTTTCAGTCGGCA